AAAATGTGAAAGAACGCGGATTATTGCAGTTTATTGTTTTTTTTTTTTTCGTTCGCTAAAAAAAAGAGATTCGATTGGTCTCATTGAGCAAATAAAAACAATATCAACAATCAAAACAAATGTCACATCACAGAACAAAAAAGAAGATTTACAATATAAGATTTTACTAATAAAATAAGAAAGCAAAAAAAATAAAACAGAAAAGTAGATCAATTATTTGAATCTGTTCGAAGTTTCGATGAATCATAAATTTTTTCAAGCCATTGTAATGCTTCAAATGAACGTTCATAACTTATTTCATGTTCACCATACATTGTATTTAAAAATTCAGAAATTTGAAATTTATTTTGATTAATATTATTAAAAACTTCTCCATTTTTAACTTCAGCTATTGATGAAGGGAATAAAAACTGTTTCCAGGAAAATTTACGCCGTGGATTATACATTAATACGTGATAAGGATTTAACCAATGATTTTGTTGTAAACGATTAAATAAAAACTGTGATGTTCTAATATTTATTGATGGTATTCGATCACGAAATGTTACACGTGTTATTCGTACGGGTTCAATAGCCAATCTATTACAAGGAATGTTCTGTTCAATAAAAATCTGTATTGAGTTATTTATACGATCTTCAGAAGCGAATTCAATATCACGTAACATCTAATAAGAAAAGAATAGATTCAATTTGTTTTTTTGATGATCATTATCGATATAAGATGATTCGTTTTTTCAAATTGTTCTGAACAAGTTCTATTATTTTTTGAGTATCCTTTTCATAATCTAACAGATGATTAGTCTGTTTGTCTTAATTCAAGAAGAAAATTTTTGATCTCATTCAAAGTTATGAAAGAATTGCTATGTCAAACGAAATGTATGAGAATGAATTATATAATCAATCTTATGTTTAACGTAATCAAATCGATCGAAAGAATAATTTGTTATGATTCAACAGATATATATATATATATATAATCAATGTTTTGTTCATCTACCATTTATTTCTTTCGCGCTGTTTTTTATCTTCATTGTTGATAATATATGCGTGTATGTGTTATTATACATGACGAAGGATTATCTTCCTTCCTAATCGCACTTCTTCGGTTTTGTACTGTCTAAAGAAGAACGTAATACTACTACTACTTTACTGCATAGAAATCATTTTAAAATTCAGCTTATATTTTAAAGTTTTAAGTAACAAATATTTTTCTAGTAACGAGAAACCAGCACTTAGGATAATAATATATGTTATTAGGGTTTTCAAAATTTTATCTAGTGATCAGCAAGATCAATCGTTTTTGATTCTGATTAGAAAAATATTGTTGACTCTAGTTTTGCGCTTGGTAATCAGAGACCGAAATCAAACTACTTCTTAAAAAGCGATGTTAAACTGAATCGAATCTAACTAATTTTTGAAAAGTGAATAAATATAGACAAGTGCATAAGAAAAATGATTAATTGAGCTATAATCTTGTTTTTGTAAAATTGTGATGCTGTATAGGATTATCAAACGATCTTTGATCGAAGATTTTACATCAAGAATTGTGGATGATCAATTTACATTTACAAAAAATTTATTAAGTCAAGGAATAAATTATAAAAGATTTTGTTTTCTTTTAAATTTAAAACGAATTTATATATAAAATTTTAACAAATTTCAATAAACTCAAAATAATATAAATTACATCTAAACATATTTGAAATATTTTAAACTCCATTTTAATTAATTTAAGTTACATTTTGTATAGTTATCTATAGAAATTAAAAGAAACCTTCTATCTCTCAGGTCTACTAGCAAAGGTATCTATGCAAGTTTTTTATTATCATTCTAAAATAACAGGAACGCAGCGCAGCCATTTTCTTATGGAACCTTCTATAGTGATGATCGGATGTTAACAGATAATAGGAGTTTCTCATCTTACTTCTGATCTATTTTTCTTGAATTCATCTATTTTAATTCAAAAAAATTTAAATCTAAAATAATTTTAAATTAAAAATTTTAGTATCAGAAAAATTTTAATTTAATTTAAATTTATATTGGCAATAGTTTTAGTTTAAAATAAACTTACAAGAAAATACCACGCCTATTAGAAATTGAACCAAACTCGAACCCACTTTTTTAAGACAGTCAAGCCGATCCGAACTCGAATCTATAAAAGTCAGTTCGATTCGATTCCTGTTAATAATACATGTAATCACGAAAAATGCAATGTCATTGTCTAGCAGGGTCAATGTGCTCGAGACATTTTGCATGACCTCTAATATCCTTCCTATTGATGATTCATTATTTGTTACTAATACTTTATCCATTCTACATGTTTATGTTTGCGATAATCTTATTGTTCTCGAAAACAAAAGAGTATTTACTTTACCATCAAAACTGTACGAGCAAATATTGAAGTAATTGTTATTCAATAATCGTTCGCATAAACTTTTAGAATACTTGAGTTGGTTATATATGTCAATAAGGCATCTGATATCATTCTTGTCAAACAAGGTACTCTCGAGATGAAATGTTAATCGTGTTTTAAACTATTAATATTAAGTGGTTTTTCTTTTAAATCCTTAGACAAAAAAACCACTTTTCAGACAAAAAAACGCATTAGTCTGTCAATGTCTTATCATAGATTTTTTGAAAAATATATTTTTTCTTCATTTTATATTTATACTCAAATGTGATTTATTGAAGATCATAAAACTTCATGTCAATTCGCCAAAGGAACTCTAATAAACAATTCAATTAACTTGAGATTCAACTGTAAGAAGAAAAAGAAATAGTTTTTTCGTATTCAAAAATTACGACAATTGTTTTTTGTTGTACAGACATGGACGTATAAAAGTAAAATTTATGCTTTCAAAAAATAAAGACTATATTAAATTTTTCTTTCATATATTAACATAATCCCATATATACCCATGAAAATTTAGAATTCTACTTTGTGTATCTGAATGCTTAGTCACGTTCCACGATATGTGATGATATTAAGTATTGAGAATTTTAAGAATAAGACTCTTATTTTTAATACTTTTATCTATTATTTTGACATTTATCGTTTCTTATAAGAATGAAACAATAAAACCTTTCAGTTAGTTACAAGTGGCGATTGAAATATTGCGTCTATGTCTTGACAAAAAAGAGACAGATTATAAATCTTATTTCTCTACCTACCTATATGACAACATCGTCTGTGATTCTTAAAACATTATATTCATCCTATTTTTTTGGTTCAATAATTATGTAAAAGAAACTGAAGAGGTGCGCATGAAAAATACATTCAACGAGAGATTTAAGATAAAAGAACGTTCCATACCAAGAATAGATCACATTTGGAAACCTCAAGATTGATGAAATACACATTTGACAGTCACTATTAAATATTATGTATCCAAAAATATACCTCAAACATGAGGATATCCGATAGGTCGTCTCATAACTTTACAAAGATGAAATCTCATAGCGATCAAAATTAGATATTGTATAAATACTTATTGTTGTGTTTAATCCATTATCGTGATTTAATAAGACTAATGAAAAATGAATAGATGTCCTTCCTACACATTTATCAAAAACGATTTTCCTTGACCAAGTACATTGATATTTGTTATCATCTTGAACAATTTCGTACAATAGTCGAAAGAGATGAATACAATTGAGGTGCTAAAGAGTTCTCGAGGAAATTCAATAATATATTTTTCGAGACATTCGCATTGTCAACATGGGATAATAGAAGAAGACAAAAGTATGTTGCGTTGTGAAGATCAAAACTGTAAAAGTGAGTAAACTTAAATTTCACTTACAGTTGTAAAATCTCTACGAACGAGTTATACAAGACTTGTCACGATCTAGTAATGGTATCATGCATTCAACAGCCGTGTATCAACCAAACATCCTTCGATTACTAAACTTGCTAAATGTATCTTACATCAACAATCTAGATTCGATATCAATATTGAACGAATTCGTGTAAATGAACAATCAAAGAAAAAGAAAAAAAAGTTTATGCTAGTCTTGATGCACGATTAAAAAGAATTGTACTATCTTATGAAATCAACAATATTGAGGAATATTTAACTCGGATCGCTATGAACTCGAAGATTTAGTTAAATAAATTTTATCACTTAGTGTTATAATGAAAATGAATAGTCACAATTTGAGATGAAGTGTCATGTACTGAAAAGAACAGTCACGAACATATGATATAGTGAATGTATGCTTTATTCGCAACTAGTAAACATTAATAAATATCTTCAAGAGAAAGTAAGTAATATAGTATACACTTATAGGTAGGCATGTATCGAACCCGAGTAGCTTGAGCTCGGTCGAGCTCTCTAAGGTTCGTTCGAGCTCGGTTAGACTCGTTTAGGCACTGGCTGGGCCTAAGTTTGACCGAGCCTGACGGAGCCCAAGCTCGAGCCAACTGAGCTCGAGCTGCTCAATCTAGGCTCAGACTCAGTACGTGCCTACTTGTAAGAAATTTTATATCTTGAAATCTTTCAAACTTCATGACTTCGCTAATACCAGAATACCTAATTAAAACATATCATTAGCATTTTTAGATTAAATAAGAACTGATTATAGAAATTTATCCAACTACTATCAACATTCTATGTTCGTAAACATTAGTGTTTCTTCTTTAACAATAAAACTTCTCTCTTGAAAATTTCTACTCGAAAAAAAATTGGTGATGTATTATAAATGCCTCTTCCTCTCTCGAAACTTCACGGTGCTAGGACAGATCGTCGCGGACAAGTCATCATATGAACAATTCATCGCAGATAGTTCGTTGCAATGACAAACGGTTATATGGACAAAATGTCGCAACATATTTTCAGAGTGTGACTGTAGGGTGTAGAGTCTATCGAGGGACCGGAACAGGACTCGATGTACGCTGCCCCACATACACCCACACCTTCATGAAGCGTTTTATCCAGGCAACAAACTTTTTCTCAACGAATTATCCGCGACGATATATTCGGTTACTAACTCCAATACATGAAAATAACAAATTTCCGATAATACATGAGACTAAATGGTCGTACATGAATTCTGAACTTTCTGTGGATATACATGTGATTATAACAGTACAAGACATAATGTTGTAGTACATTATGAGGATATATGATAGTATTCGAGATTGGAAAACAACGAGTGACAATAAATGAAGACAAAGAAGCAGGAATGAATATGAGACAATTATGACGATTTGTAATCTGTTTTCTTTTTAAGGGTGGGACAATCTTTTTTCTCGATACATTTTGTGCTAGGAATCGATCAGCTCTCAATTCAAAGTTCAGACCAAATGAACAAAAGAACTGTTCGAACAGAATAGCTCATATTACAAAATCTATTCAAACAGTTCTTTCGATACAAACTGAGGTGTTCGAAAAGATTTGTTCTGTTTTAGGAACGACAATGTAGTAATAGAACAAAGGTTTCGCATAGCCCGAAGTGTCATTCTGAAGAACAGAACTAGAGTTTCTTAAATTCAGAAGAGACTTTCTAAAAGAAAAAGAGAACAAAAATTGTTTGAACAACTCAGTTTCAAGAACTATATATCTACATGTGAAATCATCAATCGAATAATTTCGATATTAGTAAAAAATATTGAAACACTGTTAATCAACTAATAACATATAATCATTATTTGCTTTCCTCATTTCACACGAATATTATTCTGTTTCTAATCCGATTATTAAATCTGTCTAAGAAAATTCAAAATCAGTAAATATTTCTACAAATTCTTATCTCTTATGTTTATTTTTGTCACATACATGTATCCAAACAGTTGGTGGATAGTTGTTTGTTTTAACGTAAGTAGATAATATTTCTGGTAGAATAATTGAAATATATATAACTTGTCCCTGAATTGGATGACGTTGATTAGTAGCAAATATACTTGAAAATATTCCACCACTTGATGAACCAAATGTAAAAATTGGTAGAGATACTTTTTTTAGTAGAAAAAGAAAAACAAGAGAAATTTTCACAAGAAAAAAAATAATAAAATAGCCTTTTATTTTACCTAATTCAGGATATTGTTTATAAAAACCATCAAGTCCTTTTAATACCATTTGCACATCTTTATTCTCATAAATATCCGCCTTATATGACCAACATTGACTAATTTTATTTGTTGCTTGAAATACTAAACAAGCATATCCAAGTTCAATAGCAGCACCAATAATACGTTGTCGTTCAACAGAATGAAACCAATCATAAGCTGTATGTTTACAACTATGAAATATAAGTAATAAAGCTGATATAGAAGGTTTTCGTGGAAGTCGATATAATATTTCAATATTATTATCATATATTGCACTACTATAAGTTAATGTTTCAGGTTTACGAAAATTAAAATCATAATATCTGATAGTATGATCAATACTAACTGATCTTTCTTTACCAGGAAAATTTCTTGGTTGATAATATTCAGTTAGATCATAAAGTGATGATAATTGTATTTGAGATTGTGGTAGAGGTTGTGGAAAAATATAAAATATAATTGCACGTAAGCTACCTGCACCTGCATATAATGTCAATGAAAAAGCTGTAAATGCTGAAACACATCCCATTGCAAAAAGTATCAGACAGTGGATACATTTGAAACGATATAGTTGGTTATGAGATCGTTTACGTAGTCGTTGACGAACCATTGTGCGAATTTTTTAATTATTTTTATGTAAATTGATATTGACTTTTTTCTGTTTTATATACATTGACAACATAACCATATCGTCACCTAACATAAGTATTGCATGGTTCAGTGAGTGACGACAGCGTATGAATAAAGTTTTGTTGGATAAACTAAAACACCAATGTCGATTAAATAAGATGTCGACACATTTCGTTTGAGGTAATAAATGGATAGACGTATGATGTTTATTTGTTGATTATTTAACCCTTCTTAGTTCCTATGAAGTGACATTTATTCTTAGAATTTAAATAATAAAATTTCTATTTAGATATGTCGATGATTATGTTTATTTTATTATCAAATATTCGTTAATATATTTATTTATTAATATTATTCGGTAAATTTTTTGAAAGTCTTATTACTCCAAAAACAAAAAAAATAATAAAAAGAGAACATGGGTGGACGTTTAACAACCCCACCATCATCGGCATCATCATCATCGACAACAGCACATAGAAATACGGGTAATGGTTCGGCAACAAATTTATCTCATCGTACACATTCAAATAGTTCAAATCATCATTCCCAACCTCATCGTCATCGTTCAAATAGTGGCCATCATAATTCACATGGTTTATTTCGTAATAATCCATCAAATTATAATCGACATCGTACAACATCAAATATTGATCCAACATCCGCAGCTGCATTTAATTTTAATTTATTACGTTACGTTGGCATTGAACATGAATCGGATGATCAAAGTTCAGATGACGATTCACCACAAGCTCGTCGACGTTTACAACGTATACTTATTGCACTTCGTGATGTTCCATGTCCTGTATGTAATAAAACAATTCCAAGTGATTCATTTGATAAACATATAATTCAATGTTTATCAAAACCACGTATAGATTATAATGGTTCGTATTATTGATAAAATAAAATATTCGTTTTTTTTGAAATTTTTAATTGATCATTTTTCTTTTGTTTTTACTTATTTCAGAAGATACATTGACTGAAAATAAAGGTGAATGTGTTATATGTCTTGATGATTTACTTGAGGGACAAAAAATTGCTCGATTGCCATGCCTGTGTATTTATCACAAAAGGTAAAATTAAATATATATATATATATATATATGTATAAAGAGAGAATATTTATTGTGTTACGATAAAAATAAAAATTATGTGTTATAAGATACAATCAGATAATTTACTAGGCATGTTTTTTTTCTTGAAATAGAAGACAAAATTTTATTATATATTTTTTGGTTGATCCTGCAGATGTCTATACACACTAAATAGTAGAAATATACTTTAAGTGACTAGAGTTATTTTTAGTAATTTATCATACGTTGTATTGCGTAATATTAAGTCTATTAATAAAAAATAAAAGTACGATCATCAAATTTTCGATATAGAACAACATGTATTAAACGATAAAAAAACATTCTGTGCTTAAACTATGATATTTATTCGAATATCGACAAAAAGAACATATTAGAATATGAATTTATTTTCATAGACTATTACTTGTAGAATTTTGTTAAAAAATTTTATACTATGTAGAAGTTTATATCAATATCTAGAACAAATAGTCGCACCTCTTTTTAGAAATGATAATTTTTGTCGATAAGGTTCATTTATCTCGGAATCTTATTGCATATTAGATTAGTAAATGACACTAATTCTTCTCGAGTTCGAATGTTTATTCTACGTTATCTATCGAGTGTAGTGTGATAAATTGATATACTAAAGTTGGCGTGATATGAGTTGACATTATCAATGTAATTTCATGCAAGACTTCCAGTTTTTATATTTACTATGATGTGTATGAACTTATTGAATAGTTTCGTATTTCATTAGATGTATAGAAACTAATTCATTAGACCTTAACGAATTAATTTGATTAAATAAAATATTGAAATTTTTTCTTTAATCATTAAATCTATATAATAAAAGTTTGTACTCTTTTATTTTTTTTTGAATTGTAAAATTATGTATAAATCTATTTAAATTTCTTTAGTTGTATCGACAATTGGTTTCGTATCAATCGATCATGTCCTGAACATCCCGGCGATTGAATATTTGTACACTCATAATTATTTTTTCTTTTTTCGTTTTCGTCTTTAAACTTTTTTCATTTTTTTTTCAATTTGACATATTTGCTGCGTGCATATGTTTGAGCATGCATTCATTTCTTCTTTTTTCTCTTGGTTTCGATCGTCTCTTTCTCTTTTTATGTTCCTTATATATATGCAGCGTTTAAAAACGCATTCATCATCACTTTTTTTTCTCTTTGTTTATTCATTGTCATGTATAAACAAAAGGATATTCTTCAGAACAACCTAGAAACTGATTGATGCAACACGCGAGCGAATTTATTCCGTCCGTGTGACGACATTTCTTTCGACTTTTTTTTTTCTTTAAAATTTAAATGTTCCTACAGTGAAAAACTGAAAACACCACTTTCTTGCTTATTTTTGTACTTATAATAAGAAGAAAAAAAAAAGCAGCAAAGAAAAGAAATTTGATTTTGTATAAATGTGTCTTTCAAAAACAATCTATTATTTGTCATTGCATCAGTTGAGTGATAACCACGGACGTGAAAATGAAAGTATTAAAGCACACAGAATTTACCGATTTCTAAGATCGATCTTTATATATATTTTTTTCTTGATGTTTTCTGTGCATGGTTGTCTTTTTTTTTCTTGTTGGCGAATTAAGAAAAAAAATTTGCCAGTGTTTGTATTTGAATCTTTTTTTTGTTGTTGCTGTGTTTGTTCCTATTATTATTATTATTATTATCAATATGTACAATATTGGTCTTTTTTTTTTTGCTCTTCATTTTTTTCTCAATCACTATTTCTTTATTCGGCTTTTTTTTTACAAAAGAAAAAACATAATAAAGTCTAGCTGACCTAAAAAACAAATATTAAATAATGACCTATTATTATTTGAGTCATTATATAATACTTTATAGTCTATATCCGAGATGAAGAATATCTCGATATTAAAAAGAAAAAAAGAAACAACAAATGTTCGTTATCATGAAAATATAAAACAGTCATAATATAATTTATACTTGTTGTTTTACCTTTCAAAATGTTGTTTTATGATTCGATTTTTTTCTTTTTGCGGAGGGTTTGTTACAAGTATATTGACATTTACGATAATACATCATAGATTATCGAAATTAGTATCATGTAATATCTCCTACATTGTATTATTGTAAAAACTAATATATGTATATTATAATATTTAGATTATTGAATGTTTGTAGTATTTCAGTTCACTATATTAGATATTCTATTCTTAGTTTATTTCTTGAAATAAATAGTATATTTTTACATCTATGACGATTACTTTTATTTTGAAATGTATGTTGATGAAATAAAATTTTTCCTACTAATACTAAATTTAATCTAGATACATTTGATTTCTCTGTAGTAATTATCTTGAGAGTCGTTAGTCTTATTTTTACTTTTTTTTTTTTTTTTATGAAAAATATTTTTTTTTCGAGACATTAACCAGATTGAATAGCTTTTGCATTATTTATTAGATATATAAATTTTTTATTGACTTTCGTATTAGAAACTATCTATCATCTTGTATATTATTTTAGTTAGATTTGTTGTTTTTCATTTTGGAATTATTACATATTGGGTTAATAATTAATCATATAAATGTATCATTAATTCTTTTTTTTTTTATTAGTCAATCAGAACTTTTCATAATGACAATCATTAATAAAAAGTGTTTTTTTTTTTTGTTGAACAATTTAAAGCATTTATTTTATATATTTTTTTATAATAAATATGATAAATGAATTATTCTTCGTCATCAATAATATTATTATTTGTTGTTGTTGTTGTTAATCTTGAACATTGATCAGATGCTTTTTCTTTTTTACTTTCAAGTTTTGCGATTCGTGAACCAAATTGTATAGCACGTTTTGGATATTTTGATGATTGTTCAAGAGATAAATAATGACGAGCTATATAACGAAGTAAATATTTTTCACCAATACCACGTGGTAAACGTAAATCAGCTTTTAAGCAAATAGGTATTGAACGAAGATAATTAACTAATTGTTCATCAAGATATGGAAAACGAACTTCTTTACCTAAACTACTAATTACACTAAATAAAACAAAAAGAAAAATAATAATAAATATGAAGAATAAATTTGCATTTATTTTTTTTGTTTTTTTTTACCGATCATCACGTCCTAAATTTCGTTTGGAAATTCGATTCATTTCCATATCAAGTTCATTTTCCAATGCTTTCCATCCACCTGTACGAAATGTTGTTCGATGTCTAGAATAACCAGCTAATTGTTCATCTGCACCCAAACCGGATAATAATACCTAGTTAAATAAATAATGAAAATATATAGCAGATAGTACAAATTAAATATGACAAAAAAAAAACAAGAATATTTTCTTGTTTTGAGTTACTCAAGTACATTTCTAGAAAGTCATTCGATAGAGAATTGTTTGCTCTAGAAAATTGTTGTTTTCTAGCGGAAGCAAAATTTAACATATGAAAGCCTAGCTGATTTTCTAAATATGATTCTTTGCAGATATTGATCAAGTCATGTCAGTCTTTGCTCATTAAGACTAATTTAAAAAGTAACACAGTTGACATTAATCTATAGAGAAGAATTTTCCATTCTCTGTTTTCATGATTTTTTTCAAGATTTCCAAAGAAAAAGACTTGGTGTATGAAACAGTCATTCTCATGCTATAGAATATAATTTCGAACAAAAAGATGTGACTGCTAACACGTTAACTATCGCAATTGTAATTCATCGTTTGAACTCATATTGGATCCACGAAGAGGTATTGTTAGGGCTAGAAAAATCCTAAAAGAGTTGATGCTCAAAGGTGTCTGGGTACCGTTTCATTGAATTTTTCGATCTGAAATTTAGCCTATAGAGAGTTTCGATAATAGCTTGTTCTAGTTTTACCGAAACTTGTATCAATTTTTGATAGTCGCAATTGGATAATTGAGTAAATATTAATATTTAAAATAAAAAATTTTCTTGAAAAACGAATGCAACAGTTTTGTAGGACGAGATTTTTCTCTCTCGAATGATTATATGAAAATGTATTGGAATGATCCAAAAAAAAAAAGAAGTTTACGTCATCGAGTATAACTATTATCAATCGTTTTTTTATTTACTTCTGCTAAACTTTCATATGGTATATTATTATGATGAAGTATTCCATTACCACGAGCAGCAAACCAAAGAGCACTACCGATACTATCATCTAATACTGTTGAACATGGATATATAACAGTTTTAATAATATTTTCACGATAATATCGTAATTCATTTAAATCAACATCAATCTATTATATTAATAAATATAATTCAATTAAAATAATAGAAATAAAATTTTACTTTAACAAAATTCCATTGTCGTATTGGATTGAGTTCTAATAAAGCTTGTAAACCTAAATACATAAATAAATAAACTATGTGGTAATCCGGTTAAAAGTAGTCTAGAAAAGAGTGCACTCGAAGTGAAAAATCTTTTGTTTAGATCGAAATTAATTTCTAACATCTGACTAACTTTTCATGAGCATCATAAATTCATTCAGCATGATCTGAGACTCTCATCGTGCGCGAAGATGAAAAGTGTTAGCTCAATATTTAGAGCTGAGATTTTGACAACGACTAGAAATTTGTCAGCGAGGGCCTTTCAGACTCTCATAAAAGATTTCACACTGATCATACAAGAAATTGACTATTATTATTTTTTTTTTGTCAATAAAAAAATTACCTGTTTGTCGATCTGCTGGTGGTGTTAATATATCTGAGAAAAAAGCAACATTAAGTAGATCAATAGGTTCATTGATTGGTAAAATTCGATCAGCTAATACTGCAAGTACACTTGAATCGATACCACCGGAAAAAAGTATTGCTAATTTAGCATGTTGACATCCATTTATTGGACGAAGAATATTATTAGTTAATTGTTTACATTGACGACAAAGTGATGGTAAATTTAAAATACGTCGTTGAATAGCTAATTGTAATTGATTGAGAAATGTTTTTGATATATTTTGAAATATAGAATCAGATTCCAATTCACTTAATAAAATATCTGATGGTTCAAAAGGAATAATATCAATTGAATGTTTTATATATGGTATAGAATCAATTTTAAATGTATTATCAGTTTGTATTACTGTTAATTTATAAAGAATATTTGAATCAAGTTCTATATATGACTAAAAATTAAAAAGAAAAAGAAAAAAAGGCATGAATACATTATATTAAGAAAATGAAAATATCAAACTAGATTATTAAGTCGAACAGAACTAATAATCATTTTAATATTTGATTGAGAATTATTTTCAATTGAATACATTAAACTTCGACGTCCTAATCGATCACGTCCATAATATAAACTATTGGTTTTTTTCTAAACTAAATAAAATAATTGTTTATTAACTGATAAAATATAATTTATTCAATATATATCCATACGTGAAAATAGATAAAAGCAAAACATCCTTCTAATGTTGATATTAAATTACAAATATCTATATCATTTGAACATTGTTTTAAATGTTGAGATAAAAGTATACCATCATTATCATCTGGTTTTATCTTTACAAAAAATAATAATGAAAATTTACATATAGAAAAAAATAATCAAACTTGTAAAGATCCTTCATATATTTCACCATTATATAAAAGTATATTTCCATCTTCATCAATAAATGGTTGTGGTTGTTGTTTATAACCTCGAAGAGCAAGTACACTAACAACAAATGTAACATAGAAATCAGATGTAAGTGATATTGGTCCATGTTGATTTTGAAAATCAGGACCACGTGCATTTAATGGTGTATAATCAATGGAAATAGGTGTTGACTAAAATGAAATATATACTGAACACTTTAGAATTTTCAAATTTTTTATATATAAAAATTGAGAGTAGAACATAATGGACAACTTAAGTATAAAAGGTTAATCTAATAGAAGATCTTTCACTCGTCGAAGGTGAAATAAAAATTTTTATAGAATTGAATATCACCATGAGAGAGAGAGAGAGAGCTCACTAAACAACAAAGCTCAGTTATCATAATCAAATTAGATGATTGTTTTTCTAATTTTACCTGTGTATGAAGACAAAAACAAATGCCACACATGATTTGAAAGATAAATCTAGAAAAATACATTTAAATAATTTCTATATTCATATAAACTGAATAAATAATTATTTTCAAGCACAAAACATTGAGAATATTTGATAGAAACATTAATAAAAGTGAATATCAAATGAATTTTTGTATCAATATTTTGCAATAACTATCATAATTCGAAAGATTTTCTAATCGAACATATTTTATTTGTTACAAATGTATTTGATTTCGAAATTTAATTTTCATAATTTATTACTCAGAAAAAAAAACTATTTTACGAAACATGAAAGTTAAGAAATGATTCATTAGTATTGAAAGAACTCGATTGATGGATAGAAATAAAAAAGAGAAGAACCAATGAAAATTTCATTTTATAAATGATGTCGTTTTCGATCAATACAAAGAATTATTTGATTTATATAATGTACATAAATCATGATATATATAAACGAAATCTTAATAAAAAAAATCTAAAAATAAAACTTTCTGTTACGGAGTCCAAAAAGATTTTTCCGATGCCTACAGAATAAGAACGTTTTTTTTATAGGCTTCATATTGAGCCCATAAAAGTTTTATATAAAAAAGCATACAATTTTCGTCATTCAACGAATCTATGACAGGTTTTATTCTTTTCCTGCAAAAACATTTTAGGCTTAGTACGAAATCTAAAAAAAAAGATCTTAAAATGTATTCATGAAAAGCCCCTTCTTGGTTTCGCCAATAGGCCTATTTTATTTAGAATGCATGATTTTAACATACACCTCAAAATCTTGATAAGTAGACTTTATCTTCCAATGAGATACAAATTTTAAAAGAACTATCATAGATTTATGTTTTGTTCAAAGTCTGAAAATTGCTGAATACATACTTTTTATTTTTTTAATACAATATTTTTGCTTTCTTTGTAATCACTATATAGTTTAAGTGTTATGATTGAAGTTCTGCAAAAGAAAACCTTTTTCACATTCTAAATTCTATCGATTTCATGTTTGATTGAAAAAGTTAGATAAACTATACAAAGAAAAAAATGGTTGATTCTGAACATGAAAACCATTTGATTAATAGAATTATTTAGCACATTTATATGCTTTGAATCTTGTTGACAAAAAGTTTCTACTACAAATTATTCGAATTGATACTATGTAATTGGTAGTTTCTTTAGAAAACATCACTACAATAGATAATCGATCAAATACTAATGTCATGTCTCATTGGAGAGATCTCAAATCGTATTACCACAGATTCATTTATTAATAATTGATTTTTAAGTGATCCTACAAAAAACTAATCACTGATGTTACTGTCAGTTTTCAAAGAGATTACATAATTATATTGGAATGATTTAGTAAGAAAATGAAATTTGCATGACAAAGATAATACTAACTTCAAAATAGAGTGCATCATTCACTCCATTTTTACTTAACAAGAAAAATAGCCGATTATTAATGTTAAATAAGATCGCTTGGCATTTGTAATCTCATCAACTTGTGAAATATAATTATATATGCATACATACATTTTGATCAATACTCATGATATCTCTTTGACAATTGTCCTGTTTTATAATTTTGTTTAAATATCGCAATATTGATGAAAAAAATACCCAATGAATTAATCTTTTGATTGCAACATGTTTTGTAAAACACTGCTGCTGAAATAAGTCACATAAAGTAATTTAATATAATCGCCAAGTGTAAAGATAAGACATAAAATAACTCTGGGATTCAATATCAATATTTAATTGTGATACAAATTTGTATATTTATCATTGGATAAAAAAAGAAAGTTCTGATGAAAACTGAACTATTCGATTTATTGCAAAACTTGCCAATAAATTTTATATTCTTCGTGATTTTTTCAGGGACGATATTGATTCGGTTTGAACATTTCAAGAAAAGAATTCAGCTCAATTTGGTTCAAAAAAAAACCAGGAACCGAATGTATTGCTGCTGATTTTTTCCTTTCTCTCTCTCTCCTTCTTATCTTTGAATCTAGTTTTCAGGAACTTTCTTCTCATAGTCCATCTATGAAGTTTGATTACAGAATGTCTGTAATAGAGAACTTCATCCACTATTGACACCACTATTTGGATTTAAGTTAAATGCTTGGTTTCCTAGAAAAAAAATCCAAAATACATTGATGTCATATTTTTGACTGGTACTATAGTGAAAGTAAGTATTGTATATAAATTACTATAATGACTCGGTCATTTATTAGTGAATCTTATTGAGTATTTTTTAGTATGCTTATAATCACTTAATAAAGTTCACTTATACGTATTTGAGCAACTGAATACAATGATCACAAAAATACTTGAAAGTGGCTACTTCTTGCGAGAATTTTTACATGAGTTACCAGAAATTGAAATCAAGTTATTCAAATTTTCTGTTATGTTTGCGAATGTTTTTATGAATGACATCTTTCAGTAAAGACATCTTGAATTTTTGGCCATTCTTTTGCCCATTCATTGTGTTGTGCTTCGTTCTCGCAAAAGATGTAAATGGTATCAAGATGGAAAATATCATGGATTAGGGTCATCATTTATTGGCTCATATTAGCTTCTACAATGAAGAACACCTTTCTGTCATCGACTTCAGTAAGGAAGTCAATACATTTATCCGATTGAGTGAAAGTGTTGACATCGTTAACAACACTGTGCAATTGCGCGAGCATATTTTGACAGTCCGCATTTGACGGATCAATGTTGGCATCCACCCAGATGAGTAAATAATCTTGAGCCCAGTACTGTTTGGCTTCAATGGTATTTGACGAGGTTCTTGGAGTTACCGTGACACCCATCATTTTTGATATAGAAACTATTGTTTCAAACTCTTGTTCACTCATATTCGATATAATTTAGTGGTCGATTAGTAATCGAGAATCATGAATCATTGGCGATTGTTTGGACAGAGTTAACATTTTCTATTTATCATAGTTACTTGCATCATTCTTTTTTTTTAGACATTTTGACGACGTCAAATGTAGATGTCGTTTTTTGGTTGACATCAAGCGAAAAAATTCACTTAGTTTCAATTGAAAATATGGTTGTTAACAGTAAATGAATGAAAAAATTCAACAATGTCATGCAGTGTATTGCTATTCTCTCAAACTTTCGTTTGCTTTTCATCTACACAATCACTTGCGTATTAATACATTGGATACCATTTCTCATCCATTGTTTTTTTTAATCAATTCTTTAAAAAAAACCGACTGTTTTCTCTTTCTAATAAGAACGACAAAAACCAAGACATCGTCAGTATGTTTTTTTTTCATTACGTATATGATTCACTTTCTGAAAATGTAAATGAAACAAAAAGAAAAGTCACTTCAGTTTTGATTGTAGCAACAATAAAACAATGGTTTTACGTGCCAATAATACTGCTAATTGTTAACGAGTGATACAAATGAAAAAAAAAACCTGTTCGCATTGTGCTTAACTCTCAGCTATTTGCATCATGCTTCATGATTGCAGAAGTAATTATGAGTAGCCTAATTGGAATTCGAATTCGAATATAATTGCAGGTCGAAATGTAGTGTATTAGTTTAATAAGTGTTGGCCATATAGATATAGTATATAAGCAAGTTTTTTTATCTTAATTATCATACGAAACTAATATAGAAACCTATACAAGCTGTTATTGATTAGTTATCGAAATAATAAGTAAGATGGGCGCTTTGTTTATCGTTTCAATTTCATTTTCACAAGTGTATGAGAGACTTGTTTTGATTTCACGTTTCGACTTAATTTCATACTTGAACGGTGTCCTCTTGAAAACCATCTTGAGGTTAACTGGCGAAGGCGAAACCGAAACATGATGATGTGATGCATCACAAAAAAGGCATCAATATGGTAAGTGCTAGGGGGAGGTTGCATCGCGGTAGTAAATAAAATAGATGTCAGTTGTGGTTTATTTTGTCTGGTGCATTGTCATAGTGACTATAGGAATTAACTGCTGAGTTGCAATTATGACTTTTAGTCGTGTCATGTACTAAGGGGTTGTATTTCTAATTCGAATTATTATTGAGAATAAAACTAGCGTTTGTTTTCTTTGCTACTTCTATAGAATAGTCGTTAGACTTGAATTATAATTATAAGTGAGAAAAAATTTATTTTTTGTTTTTGATTCTTACCGTCATATATGAAATTGAAAAATTCATTTATGTTTGAATTCGAATTAGACATGTACTGAAAGATTTCTTTTTTAATTTTGTTCTTATCTTAACTTTACTTTAACATTTTTCAAAATGTGCATAAACGATGAACAAATTTACTCAAAATCGAGATATATTTTCATCTGTATACATTTTCATCTTTATTGTGCATCGGCGAAATTGAAAATCAATTGCTATATTGTACTGATCACAATTATATTCATAAGTTTTTTAGTCAGACTATTTTGAATTTGAGAGTGTGTCTGTGAGATTAGCAGAATGAATATACCATCAATTTCAATCTAGCTAAAATGTTTTTTGATTTATATTATTTTCATTCGAAACTTATGTTGAATTATTGATACTATCAACATCTATTCTATATGATACATAAAAAATAGTAAATATTACTAGCGTAAAATGCGATTGTAAAACTCATCTTACTTGTATTGTATTTCTGTGTTCGTAGGTCCAAATTCTTTTTTTAATGAATAATGAACATTTTCTTCACCGATTATGAACCATTCAGTTAGTCAATCTTAGTGGATGATGAGTAAATGAATCAAATGACAATACTGACATTGATACATTATCAAAATAAACCGCAATAAAAGATGATGGCGACATTAACAGCTTCTTGAAAGTTGATAATGAAGACATATATAAAAAATTATTTAACATCGAAGTCACTATTGATGAAAGTAGTGATAGTATGTTTAAATTATGTATTATTTTTTAAAAGTATTTTTTCCTTTTGTTATAGCAAGTGAATTAGCATTGAGTAACTTTAGACTTGAATCATTTAAGTTATTAATGTTAAAATTCATAAGAGTAAAACCGTTCTTTTTGTATAT